CTATACATGCCGGTAATATGCACGGTGTTCGCAATCAAATTCGAGATTCACAGATACATGCTCGTTTGAAAGCTGATTTGGTTGAAAATATTTGGCAAAAGTTTGGTAATCAACATTAATAATATTTGTATGTTCATGACTTATCAATGTATCTTATCAATGTATTGAATAAAACTTGTTTTATTAAAAATAAAAAATTTCCAATTTCATGTTCATGACTTCTTTAAAAATTTATCAATTTCATGTTCATTGAATATTAACTTTAAAAAAAAAAAAATTATTTTCTAAAAATATATATTATTTTAATCTTAAGAACCCCAATCTCGAGTTCACTGATGGAGGTACACTTTTCACCAAGGTTCAACACTATTCCTGGACCCACCAAAAATATAATAAAAAATACTTATGAACCCCAAGGGGGGGTTCATTGGTGGACTTGCTCTTAGGGGAAAGTGTCAACGCTGTACAAAGATAAAGCATCAGATCACTGCGTTATTTGATGGAGATGAACCACAAGGAGACAGAGCTAACATAGAAAAGTTCAAAAAGGATTGCTCACTAAAGCAGAGACAACAGCTAAATACGAAGTGTGATTAAGCTCTTGTTTCCCTCAATTAGCAACATATTTTCTGTAACTCTTTTTCTTTCCCTTTGATTAACTTTCAAGGTCCAAGATATTGAATGTAATTCTCATATTCCTATATGAATGATTCTACTCTCAGAAGAAAAAGACTCACAAACTGTTTTTCTCACATTTTGTCCAGAGCCTTTCCCTGAATACCAAATATATAGTCACTACTGTTTTGGGAGTTACCAAAAAAAATTCTGAACTACCTATCTAGTCTCTGATCCAAAAAGCATATGCATTTTTATATGGCTAAAGCTTGCGTCCATCAAGAATTTTCATTTATATAATCTGCTTCGACCATAATTGGTCCTATCTTCCGCGTTTTGGCGTCTGAACGAGGTCTAAGCTGCAGTGGAAAGAGACCATTCAGTTTTAAATACTTGATGAGGAGTCTAGAAGACCGAAAATATCGAATAGAGAAAGCTGTGATCAGGAAAGATAAAGGAGGTAAAAGAGGAAAGACAACAAACCATCTTGATGTACTCGAGTTGTTTCAGGATCTCATCTGTTTCTAGTTCCTGAGGAGAAGAACAGAAGATGCATTTGTATTAACTTTTAATGTATCCGTTAGTATGTAGAAAATCTGTCAGTGACATATTTTCATTGGAGAAAGATGAAGCAAGACTCTACATGAATGTCACTCCTTAGGCTCTAACTTTTCACCCTCGAAAGGATTATTCTTTTTTGCGGAAAAGAAGATGTAAAAGAACTTGGTAAGAGATTTTCGGACCTGAGGGACGGCACAATCAGCATGCGATGGATCCCAAGACACACAGCAGAAGCATTCCCAGTCGTTGGTCTGTACCTCTGAGCGAGGAGCCCTGTGTATATCCAGTTAAGCTAAGCATATTGAGTAACTCATTTTACACCAAGGTGAATAGTTACAGATATGAGTCAAGGAGAGAAATATTGGTAAGAAGCTTGATGAAAAGGTGACAGCATTAGCCGAGAAATTGAATGTTACCTACGCCACTTCCCACAAATATCTCCATTCCTATCCTCCTCTCTGCATTGGAGCCAATTTACTGCAGAACCTGGTTTCTTACCGTTTTTGAGATCCTGCAAAGAAATAAAGATGACAACTTAACTCTATGGCAATGTAAAAAACACATTACTATATACTAATTGGGAGCTTACATGCATATATTTTGAGTGATCAATCTCCAGGGGTTCACCAACAAAAGAAGTACTATCACTGCATTGGGATCAAAATATATTTGTATTTCAACCAGATCAAATAAAGGCCACTCATTTTTGGTGAAAGGGCATCTTTTATTTCACAATAGGACATCTAGTGATTGTTGAAGTTAAATACCTCATGGTTGGACCTGACCAGTCTGGAACATCCGCTTGAAACTCTTTTCCTACTCGAATTCCTATTACAAATGGTTCTGAAACTCTCCATTTCCGTTCCCGTGATCTCCCTTTGAAATTTGTCTTTGATGGCATCTTTTCCAAACAAGATCGACAAAACCAGTCATCAATCTGTGCAACTTCTTTCATTCGAACACCGCAACACCTTGTATGATATGCTTCCTCACATTCATCACAAATTAACATCTTGTCCACATTTCCTGCCTTATCACAGCGTTTGCACTGTCTGAAAGGGCTGCTGCTACTACTGTCTGTATGATCTGAGCCAGAATCTGTAGCTTCACTTTCTCCAGTTTTACTGGGACCTGAAACAAGTTCAGAACTGGATTGTGATGAGCATCTGTCATTTGTTCCTTCAGAAGAAGATGTCACTTCGGTAGCTTGAGTATTGTCTACACTAGGCTTCTTCCGCTTATACACTAGAAAGCCATTAACCCCAGCACCATTATATTTCCCTTTCTGCTTCCTCCGGCTATACACAAGTAAGCCATTAGATTTCACTAACTGCTTGCTTTGGCTGCAAACAGGTCGATGAATACTATTACTATGCCCCCTTTGGCTATATTCAGAAGAGTCATCTTGATCACGGCTTATCTTGGTTCCTCCAGAGACATGTTCGCTAAAGCTACAACCATTAGATTTTACTCCACCTTTCTTTCTGCTGGTATACACGAGACATTTATTTAATCGAGTTCTTCTTCTCTTGGCTTCTCCACAGTCTTTCCCAGAGACAAAAGCATCATCAATCCCATCAGCCCTTAACGTAGTTTCTCCAGTAACATAACTGCTTTTGCCCCTCTTCTTTCGACTATAAACAAGACAGTTGTTGAACCGATGTTTCCCTTTCATGCTTTCTTCATGGTTATAAACCGGGACAACAGAGCCATCAAGTGAAACCTCCTGTTTATTGCATTTTCCTGGGCTACTATCCTCAGTACCTCCAGGTCTCATGCTCCACTTCCTTCGACTATACACAAGTGAAGTCAGAGCCTTTTCCGATACGTTATGCATAACAGTTTGCTCTGGACAACTTAGTTCATCAGCATTGGTTGCATCAGGGACTGGAACAGCTTCAAGAAAGCTTACTTGAGACTGATCTGGAAGTTTGTGGATCATCTGATAAGTTTCAGTTAGCGACATCCAATTAAAAGCAGCAAATGGGTGTTGATACTCAGATGTGTTCAGAAGGCTAGTTTCAACGGAAGCGCTGAAGGAACTTTCCACCAACATGCTTGCCTGAGAAACCTAAAAAATATCTGAAAGCACATCACTTTTCTAAGTACCGGTGAGTCTGTTGGTCAACAACTTCTTCACGAAGTCCCTCCAAAAACTGATATCCTTCTGTTCTCCTAAATGTGGAAACAAAACATGGAACATAGTCAAATATGCAAGAAAACAAAGTTCCATCATTACCATAACAGATACAATAAGTTCTCTTGAGACACTCTCTCAAGAGCCCAAAGGGTTGCCCTTACTTGAATTATTTTGTGGTATTGCATCCTAAAACCCACATGTATTTCACATGAGAAACCCAGTTTGTCCCTCTAATGATAAAAGTGCAAACTTCCCACCCAGAAAAAAATGTTTAATCCAAAGGGATGTTGTTGGATGCTTTTCAAATCTAAAATCAAGCATCCAAGTTTAGAAAACCACAAAGTTTCGGATCTAACTTGACTCAAATCTGGAAACTCATGCCCTTCTAACAAAGCTACCACATGGATTTTTGATTAAAGGTAAGCAAAACTAAAACATCTGGTACATAAAACGATTATGCTCTTTGAAACCCTAAGAATGAAGGGAACACAAAACCACCGGAGACTAAAACACTTAAGATTCGATTCCAGTAATGCACAGACGTTCATATACCCTCAGAAAACACAAGTAATACAACAAGAGCGATACACAAACAAATTTCTTGCAGGAAAAACACAAAAGTAATCTCCTTTACGAGATACGATTTATGAGATTCTCCGAGTTGTGGCCTTCTTCTGCACTTATTATTATACCACACTCACGCAAGCTCTCTCCCTCTCTCTCTCTCCTTTCTCTAACGCTATCTGTCCCTATCTCTCTGTGGCAAACAACTGTCTTTGATTTTTTTCTGTGAGACTTTTTTTTTAAAATATAAAGCTTCAAAATCTGATTTATATTCTCACCGCTCAGACTTTTTTTGCTTGTGTTAAAAGTGTCTTGTCTTTTAAATTTATTGCATTCTAATCCTGAATCAAAATATCACACAGTTCACTTATTTATTTATTTAGAAACAAAGTTATAATGAATGGAATTACACACAGTGTTGATTCATGTCAAACTACAAATTACATGTGTCCTTGGAGTTGTACGAATTCCAAGAGGATCAAACTACACTTGATCCTGCAACATAACAGCACATCTCTAAGAAGCTCAAATTTATTTGTTATGGGAATATACAACTATTGAATCCTAAACAAGAAGAAGACTTGCCTAAGCAATTCCTACACTCTCTGGCTGCTAAACCGTCAGGTCCAAACAAGGTTTCTCAACGCTTCATAGTCCTCCTCTTCTCATCCCTTTAAGCTCATTTCGTTGTTTAAGGTTGTCAAGGGCCTATAACTCGACAATGAAAAACATGTCACAGTTTGTAATTGCAAAAAATAATGTGCCTACTAGTGACAATGGTCAGAAATCTCACAAGCAGTACTATATCATTACTTTAACTTCTACTTTGAGTACACAAGCTTGTTGTGTTACTGGTATCTTTTAATCTGCAACTAAAGGGAGAAAAGAGTCACTTGCCAGCTGGAACAAGCAGTCACGTTTGCAGAATCTTGAAGTTGATTACGCCCACAATTTTCAGGAATACCTTAGTGTACTGAGGTTGTTATGAGAAACCTTCTTACTCCTTATGTCAGAGATATTGTCGCACCATTTTCTGACCTGAGTCCTGACTCTAAGCATATGATTATCGATAAGAACCAACACTGACAAACAAATGTTTATTAACATAACACATTCTACTTTGGATGCTGGACACCTATACCCAATTGAAAACAGATGGTTTTCTCACATATACCATTTTTGGTTCAAAATCCAACTTTAATGAAAGCATGCCCCCCCATGGTTCGTTCTGCTGACAGCTGCTGGTTACATTATGCAAGCAGTCTTTCACAAAGCAATAAGATACCTTTTATAACACAACTGCATTTTTAATTTTTAATTTTTTTTGTAACATTATAACACAACTAACTGTATATGAGATAAAAGATATGAAGAAAATTTCAGAAAAACTGCACCTCGGTGAAGTCTGAAAAAGTCTTCATATTTCTATCTTCTGGTGTTTCTCCATCCCTCTAAACTTCTCTAACACATAGTGGCAAGTGTGCTCATGTAAAAGACAGTTCTCTCCTAATGCCTCCTGCCGGACAAGTGAAATTATAAGATAAAACTGCTATACTTACACTGTTGAAACAAGAAAAGGAAAAAAATTGGAATTATTTGTTTCCCCTGCATAGAGAAGAAAAGCAGCTCGTTCAAATCCAGTCAACGAGCTTATATGCACTGCATTGAGATCCAAATATCTTTGTATGTCAACCAAACCAAACAAAGGCCACTCATTTTGCCATTTTGGTTAAATAAAAACGCTCATTAATTAACCTAGTAGACATCTTTTTTACAACAGGACATCTGTTGATTGTTGTACCTGACAAATCTGGCACATCCGCTTGGAACTCTTTTCCTATTTGACTTCGTATTAAAAAAAAGATGGTACTGTACATCAGTAGCTATCCATTTTTCGCTCCCGTCATCAATCTCTGTGCAGTAGTTTGTATGATATGCTTCTTCAGTTTCATCACAAATTCGCAGCACCTGTTGGCCACTTCCTGGCTTATCACAATGTTTGCAATGGCTGAAAGGCTGCTACGACCGTCTGTATCCGTTTGTGACGCCTGGGCATCAGAGGAATCGCAATCTGAAAGAACTGGCACTAAAAAAGTATGAGAACTGACAATAGAAAGTTGATTCTCGTTTAAAAAAGAGAAGGAAAAGGAGCTTCTTCGGTGGATACCTCTTGGTCCTTTATAGCAATAGTAATTAATTGTTGATGTTTTAAAGTTACTCTTTTCACCCGTCTAGATAATATTTTTCCTTGTTCACTAATAAATCGACTAATTAAACTCATGTTTCTATAATCAATTCGATCCCCCGATTGGATCGGGGGCAAACGCCGACGAAAAGATAGCTTGGATTTAGTAAAAGGTCGCTTAGATTTATTGGTCTCTCTTGGGTCTTCTTGTCTAAATAAGAAGTTACCTGCATATTCAAAACAATCTAACCCATCAGATTCCTCACCAAAACTCCATTACTAAAGAGTGATTGCTTGATGATGTAATATGTAAGAGCAGATAGATTACCTCAAGTTTGACGGCGTGGCGTCTGCTACGGTTTTAATTCAAAGTCAAAAGAAAGCAAAACAATATCGTTTAATTATTAGCTTGAATTTATAACGAAAAAGACTGTGATGTGACTTGTCATCTAACGAAGTAAACGGAGTATTGTTTGAATTGGTTAAAGCTCTCTAACGAAAGCAGAGTTTTCATGAAACAGTTTTCCTCTGTTGGTAATAATCAATCTTTCAACTAAGTTCCATGACAAGCAATAAACAGATAACAGAGGAAACAAAAACAACAGGGGAAAACGCTGGTATTGACTTTAGAAGATTACTTTTATTGGTTAACATTACTAGGAGCATCTCTGGCATAGAAGATGGAAGAAGCTTCCACCAAGCTTAATATATAACTTTAAAGCTTTATAAAATAGTAAACAAAGGGATTAAAGATGGGCAAACATCACATAACCCCGATGGAAGGGTTGCAACTGTACACATACAACCTCATCAGTCTCGGAAACCATCTGTTTTTCCAAGCTGTACATGCAAACCATGCGTCAGGAATGCACTTCACTGTGAGCTGAAACATGTTAAAATCACTCTTCATCGTCTCCATGCTTAATCGAGTAAAACGGATCAGGAAAATGCGCTAGCTTGACTTCCAGCATCTCATTCCCCGGAATGCTCAACTCCATGCTACCTTCTACCTCTTCCGTATCTTCTTCCATTTCATTTGAAAGGAAAAAAAAAACAATGCAACACCATAAATATCAGGAAACAGCGAAAACATAAAACAGATAAACAAGTAGAGACACATAAATCATGATAAAACGAGACATAAAGCATAAACAAAACAACCTTCACATTACACTATTATATGTTCATTTAATTAAACAAGACTTCTACAAGACAAAACATAACCCCCCTAAAGGTGCAAACTTTTTCTCGGAAGTTGGTTCCATTTAGTAAAAAGGAACCATTTTTAACAGGTAAACCCAAAAAACAAGTGAGACCCATTATCTACCTACCTTCAGGAATGAAGAAAGAGGAGCAAGGCCCACCAGAAGGAGACAACAAAGAGCGATACTCCTCCTCCCTCAACGGATTCGTCACTTTATCCACCAAATTCGCGATCTTCACCGCCGTGTTCTGATGCGGCGGGACCCAGAAGGAAGATCCTGGGTTGAATGGGAGCCAATCGGGAGTCGAATTCTGTACGACGATCCTCCGAACAAACTCGTTCAGCTTCTTGAGAACCGCGGCTTCTGCTTCGGCCTTGGAAGTCGCTGATGAGGAGGAATCGAGGTCGATCTCGATGACATGCGGCTTTGAGGAATAAGGACGCCGGCTGTAACAGGCGAGGCTTGGCGCCGTGGGCTCGTTGAGGCGACGGAGGAAGAATCTCCCGTGGGGAATTAGGGTTTTTGACAACAATCGGGACATTTTTAGAGAGAGAGAGGATGAGAATCAACTTCGAGATTTATAGAGAGAGAAAGTAGAGACAGGATGAAAGTCACGTGACTCACGTGTGTGTGCAACTGAAACGGGTACAAAAGATATTCGTGGGATCCGACCCGGGTATAGAATTATAAGAGAAAACTGTTTATTTTGGGCTTTAAATGGGCTTGACCGATTAGATCCGGTGACTGATATAACTCAAAATACAAGTAAGGAATAGTCTTCTAGGTAGATGCGATTTGATCCAATCCCCTAATAACATTGCTGTGTCAGTGTATGGGAACTATGTTTGTGGTGTATACATAGGTGCACGTGAATATGTAATACCCTGTTGTTTGTATTATTCACGTGCATATGGATTTTATAGTATCAAGTCATTTCATATGTCATGACATGCGATTGCAGTCCTTCTTAAGTTTTAATAATGAGTTGTTTGTTATTTTATTTTATAAGTCAAGAATCGAAAACTGATACGAAATCAGTTTTTCTAAAGGGGTTTTTTTGCAGATTTGACCTGAAACTTGAAGTCAATCACAAAACTAACTTCCTTTTTTTTGGAACTTAATTTTGCCCTATTCACCCCACAAGTTCATATAATTCACGAAAATGCCATCAAATTTTTTTGATTTTTTTTTTTCGAAAATGACACATTTACTCTCTCACCCTCATCATCTTCAAGTAATTACAAGATTGCCATTGTCATCAATACTCCAACAACCATGAACAACCAATTTTGAAGCTCTTA